CTGAAAGAAATCTGTAACCTGGACTTTTTTTTTTTTTTTGACCTAACTTTTCCAAAAGAGTAAGCACTACGCCTACTCCTTTTGTCCAAAGTATCACTATCAAAATCTTCAGCAGTACTGCTTTCAACATCCTTACGTGCATCAACTTTCTGGCGGTTGTTTTGAATTTGCATCCCCTTTTTTCATTTTGTTCCTTTTCCTCTTAACAGAGAGCGCTTTAAAAAGTGCACCATCGCTCACATACTCCGCACTAGCTTCATCTTCCATCACCAGATCAACTGTTTTGTCAATAACATTTGATGTTTCCCCCTCTACCATTCCCGAACCTCCCATCCTTGCATCACTTGTTCCAGCCTCTGCTGTATCACTCACACCTTCAGCTTGTTCGCACTCGACTGCTGTGACAGCATCATTCTCCACAGCTGCTGTGCTACCACTGCATTTGCACTAGTGTCCTCAGTCTGTTCTGGACACAAACTTCTAATGTGCCCCTCCACATTTAAAACATTTCATCATCTTAGAACAAACACAACATAATCAAAGCCATCGGATCTAAATTTAAATGGCACATTTATTTCCTCAATTTCGGGGGAACGGGGGAACATTGGACAAAATTATATTTTTTGCCTAAAGATATTACTGGCGTAAAAGTCTCCTGTATGATAATTCTGTTTTGCACCACGCCGTTCACTTTCTCAAGGTTATCTAAAAAAATCACCACAGCGCTATTCATACGAGACGCTGACATTATGCTGTCGTGACCGACAACATTCCCAACCGCCAAACTAAACTCTTCCAATCTTGGTGCAATCTTGATGCCATGCCTGCGTGAAAGCCGATCATAACTGAAGAGTTCGGAGGACATGATAACAAACATGATGTTAGCTTATTGCATGATTTGTGTTTGAACTGCAGCTTTGGTCTCAATGATTTGAAACATTTCACACTGAGAGTTGCATTGATTGTCTTGTTGTCAAAAAATATCAGTCATGTTCAATATTGGTGTCTGTGTAACAGTAAAAGTTACATCTGAGTTCATTAGGGATGAGTTTAGTTTGGTTGAACGGTTCATTGGAGAATCTTTCAGATAGTGTGTGACAGACGATCTCAGTGTCTCAGTGTGTGTGACAGAGATAAACAGACACATCACTGCTTGTAGTGGAAAGAACATGTTCATAGCCATAAACAGTGAAACATAGTATGCTCTAATTGCTTTTCTCGTCCTATGCGTTTGCACTCTCGTGACCTAATTACGACGCTGCTGACGATGGTTATTTTCTCTCTCTCTCTGTTCCTGTGTGTTCTTGTGTATCTGCTATTCCCAGCATGCTTTAGGAGGCTGGTAAACAAAGCCCTGTGGGAGTCTGTCTATATGCGCTCTGTCTCACATCACCAAGGCAACAGAGCCGCTCCCTCCGTGAAGATGACATTTCCGGGAATGTTTTCCGAGTTTGTGTGTTTAACATCAAGGCGAATGTTAATACTATAAAGGAAAATGTGTGGAGGTTTTTCAGGGAAGAACATGTATGTTCAGAGAAAACGCATATCAGAAGTAGTCACAAATTCCGGGAAAGTGATGATAATTTATCTTAGAAAATGTTTGTCCTCTCATTCAGATGCTGATCTGTATCTCTTCATGCATTTCTTTCTCAAACATGCTTTACAGACCTGCAGAGGATCTGCTTTGTTGTGTCTCTTGTGAACAACTTCAATAGTTTTTTCACTTTAGGTAATATCTAGATTTGTGGTTCTCTAAAGGTTTTGCTTCAGGATTCACGTTTTACATTGGACATCCAGTGGCAATCCAACATGGTACAATTATTGTTTATCAAAAATAAACAAAAAGCAGGCTTAAGGCTTAATTTTAAAATGGAAGTTTATAGTATGGTTATTGTTCTTGGTGAACAGGCCTTAACTATCCATTGATTGCCACTGCCAGTAGGTTTCACTTTTAATAATCGGCCAATCAGCCAATGGAATTGTCAAGTTATAACAAAATAATGGCCCAAAAAAGTCTAGCTGACTGTGACATCACTATTTTATTTTCAGAGGCCTAGTCATGTCTTTATTCTGCTAGTGTTGCGTAATTCATTGAAATGTCATGCTCCACTTGGTATGACATCATGGTGCTAAATCATTCACTTTACTGCAGCATTGGTGCATTACGGGAAATCATGGATGACCCACTTTCGTCGTCTAAAACATCAACTTATCCTCAGTTACTGTATGGATGAGACTGGTTGGTTTCACTATGCAACATGTTCCAATTTTAAACATTCAGTTTCTGAAAGAGAGAGGTTTTGTGAAATTGCATCCTTATACAGTGAATCCTAGAGATTGCTTTCTATTCCAGAGACATACTGCCTAGAGATCTGTGTATGGCACATTCTTGAGTCTCTGGGTCTTGTGATGTTTGTTTGACACGTCTCGTGACTGTCTGAGATGTGGAATAAGTTTTTCCGTCTCCCTATGTGGAGAAGGAGAGAGTGAGAGAGCAGTGAATGAAGGAATGCTACGCGTGATATGCTAGACTAACCTTAGCGTTCTGTCCTGTTAGTGTGTCCGCTCTGGAAATTCCCAGGTCCTCGATTCTACGAAAGCTCTGAAGAGGGAGATCCAGGCACAGGCGGTGCTAGAAAAGGTCAGGGGCCATGTGTAGCTGGTGATGTCATGGAGAGAGCGGAAACAAGGACTGTTTATGAGTGGAGGGCAGTGGTTGACTTGACAGCTTAGGAATTCTCTCTCTCAGTGTTTCTCTCTGTCTTCTCTTCTCTTTCTCTGCATACACACATTTAGGTACACTGTTGTAGTGACCTTATAAACCACCAACACCTGTGAGGCAGGGTATATACTGTATTAATATCAGCATAAACAGTCTCATGTTCAAGCTTTTTGGCACACGATAGTCATTTAAATATATATTTAAGTGTGTCTGTTTTGTCTTTCTTGTGGCACGAAACAGAATTGGAGAAATAACGACTGTTTTCAAGTCAGGTTTCCTAAATAGAAAGCCTTGTCTGCCATTGGTCAAAAAATCTGTCCAAAACCAATGTCTGTGGTTGAGTTAGTTATGTCAAAAAAATTATAATATTGCAATTCCATTTGATACAGTAGTGGTGCAGAAATTACACATTTCACCTTTGAGATTGAATAGGATAAATTATTATTATTTATTTTTTTTACAAAGTTTCTGTAAAAAAATACCATAATTAGGCCATATTTACTTCTACTATAAATTTAAAATAAGTTAACATTGGATTCAGGATTGTTAACTAAAAGTATTAAAAATGTTTTTGGGTAATTGAAACAAAGCTGAAATAAAATATAAATATTAGATGTAAAACTATGGCAACTAATTGAATTACATTTTATTTGAAGTAATACAAATACTAAGCTAAAACGGAAATAAAAATAGTTAAATAAAATATTTTAAAAGTAATTAACAAAAAATACTAATAATAAAACGAAAACTGACAATGTAACAATAAAAAGCTTATTCAAAATATTAATAAATACTATAACATTTATAATTAATACTGAACCTCCTCCTTTGCATAAAGAGATTTTTAAATCTCTGTCAGGTTGTTTAATTTATTTGTAGTGATAATAATATCTATAGTAAGTATGTAAAGAGAAATTAAGGGTTGTTTTACTGAAGTGGACTTGTTAGGTTTTGATATGCTAAAAAAAAACCTAACAAAAAAAACGTTTTTTTTTTCCCACTGGCACACTTGAACTGAATGGTTTTGTAATGAGATTTGGGAGAAGAGTGGCAGCATGAGCGAGATAAACTCTATAAAGAGCTATAAATCGAATTTGAGACACTGATTTAAACGTACCATTAGGTGCCTCCAGGGAAACGCCTTTTGTCCAGCTGAGATGACAGCATGCAAGCTTCCAGATAACACTAATAGTGCACCAACTTTCCTGTGAAAAATGACTTCATGACTTTGTTATCTTTACATTCAGCGTTAAGTGAGAAGAGAGAAGTGTTGACTACAGACTGAGAAAATGCCTTTGATTAAACACCCTCTGTAAGATTGCTCGTTAAGCAACCTTTAATTAGACTAACGAAGAAGGCGATAATTAAAGTTGCTCTCGCCTCAGGAGCTGAGACGTACAACCCTCGCGCCACAACAGGAAGTCACAACATGTGACTTCCTGTCACTCACACTTCTGGTTAGACTGGTGATTTTGAATCACCTGACAACTTTTTATACAAAAAGTCACACGGGTGGCACATTTTAAAATTAGAATGTTTTGATTATGAGAAAGTTGTCACTTTCATGCTGCTTTATGACTTCTTGGCCCCGTTCTAAGCTAACTTACACAAGAATGCAGTAAGTTGAGAGTGACTACATTTATTTGCGAAAGCGACCACTATATTTTCACTCCATGTCTGTACAAAGTCATCACTCCCAGAATTGAGATGGGAAACATAGTGGTATCCATTGCAATGCAGCAAGCAACATGTTTAGAAACACTTTGATTTTAGCTAATTTTGACAATATTAGCAACATAGCAAACATATTTTGTGTATAAAACTGCTTTTAAACATTCTCTGGACCGTAATGTGTGTAGAACCTATGGTGGAAAGAGATTTTTTGTTTGATAAAGGGTGGTTGTGGACACACTGCTGACACACATTTATGTTTAATCACCATGTAAAAGTGAATTTTGTATAATAGGCCCCCTTTAACAAAACAATAACTTTTGAATGGTAGTGTAGAACACTGATTTCATCAGTGAACCATATACATGAGAGTTTGAAATCTTTAAAGTTTGGTTTTGACATCAAAAACTAAACAGACATGCACATTGAATAAGCTGACAGAAGGCCTGTGTAAAGCTCTATATATGCAGTGAAAATCATAGTATGTATGTGACCTCTGATGTCTCCTGTTCATCAAAGTATTTTTATAAAGATGTAACATAAATATACAGTAACAGAACTCTCAAACTGTTTTTCACTTGCCAGACTCTTTCTCTCTGTCTCTCAGGTTGTGGTAACAGTGCTCTGAGCTATGATATGTACCAGGCCGGCTACACCTCCATCACTAATGTGGATTACTCCAGTGTTTGTGTGGAGAGCATGGCGGAGAGACACAAGGACTGCGCTCAGCTCAGCTGGTTGTGCATGGACGCCCGTCGACTGGCCTTCTCTGACGGTGTGTTTGATGTGGTTTTGGAGAAGGGAACTCTGGACGCCATGCTGGTGGACGAGACTGACCCGTGGAAGGTCTCCGAGAAGGCGGCCCGACTGCTGCACCAGGTTCTCTTAGAGGTGAGGAACGACAGTGTAACATTTTGACTTTGAGGGGCTTCAGCTGTCTGAATTCTGGAGACTATTGGGTTCTAGATGGATAAAGGTGAAGAATGTAATTTCTTCATTGCTAGTGGCACGGAAACACAATTGTTCTGCCAAACAGGTGGTCCTTCCCCAAACTTACACCATTGGATGAGCCAAGAGTTCCTGTTCCCTTCATGCAAAAAAGATTGAGCATAATTCATGAATTACATGCTTTATCTTTAACAGACTTAAGTTTGCTTATGTTTAAAGGGATACTCCACCCAAAAATGAAAATTCTGTCATCATTTACTCACCCTCAAGTTGTTGCAAACCTGTATGAGTTTCTTTCTTCTGCTGAACACAAAGGAAGATATTTTGAAGAATGATTGGAACTATTTTTTTTTTCTACTATGGAAGTCAATGGTGCCTAACAACTGTTTGGTTCCAATCGTTCTTCAAAATATCTTCCTTTGTGTTCATCAGAAGAAAGAAACTCATACAGGTTTGAAACAACTTGAGGGTGAGTAAATGATGACAGAATTTACATTTTTGGGTGGAGTATCCCTTTAACATCCCTTACTGATGTTCTGGTAGACAGAACTATCCTCTTATTCTTCCCCTTTGAAACCTGGTTATTTTACTTTCTTAGAGATCGAAGAGAATATTTATGAATAACTTCAGTTTCTTTACGCTTGTCGGTTTCTTCTCGCAACACTTGATTCCAGAGGCAGTGTAAGGAGGAGACAGGCATTATTGCAACTGTAACTCTCATATTTACAGTAAGTAAAAAGAGCCAGTGGGACTATTTGCAGAGAACAGATTTAGGTGAGTTTTTTCAAAATGTTTGAATTAAAGGGATAGTTCACCCAAAAATGACAATTCTGCCATCACCTATTCGCCCTCAAGTTATTCCAAACCTGTATGAGTTTCTTTCTTGTGTAGAACACAAAAGAAGATATTTTAAAGATTGTTGGTAATCAAACAGTTGACGGTAGCCATTGACTTCTATAGTAGAAAAAACCCCCCATTGAAGTCAGTGGCTACCGTCAACTGTTTGATTACCAACATTCTTTAAAATATCTTCTTTTGTGTTCAACACAAGAAAGAAACTCATGCAGGTAAAACATTTTACATCTTTACATCAGGACTGATGATTCTGAACAGTCTAAATTTGGCAGCTCAGCTCAGGAGAAGCATTTCAAGTATGCCGTACGAGTAGATTTTTACCTCTTGGGTAGAGATTAATTCCACTCTTCGAAATTTGAAGAACTTCCACATCTGTCACATCCCTTAATGAAGATTAGAGGAAAGGAAAATCACAGTACAGATGACATGCTGATTCATGTTCAGTGACATAGGGGGCCACAGATGTAAAGTGTTTTTCCCTTTTATCCTTAAATGAGGGATTCAAACCTTGTGTTATTAAACTCACAGGTGCTAAGTGGCTTTCACTCAATCCCACAATGCACTACTGCAAGAATTATTCATCAGATGTCTCAGTGAGTGCCACGCAGCATAGGAACAACCCTGTGTTTTTTTGCGTTAAAGGCCTACTAATAGATGTTTTGACTCTTAAAACTCATAGGAAATATTTCCGTACAATCTAGCCTTTCATCACAGCAGAAATCACAGTGCCATTTATATTTAATCTCTTTCTCTCATGTTAATAGTGTAACAGTCAGTTCAGTTTCCTCCCTTCATAGTTTATTCATCAGTATGTCAGAGCAGCACAGATTAGGCTGGCAGTCTGATGTGTGTGTGTGTGTGTGGTTGTGTGTGTGTGGCCTGGTAAACCCTACATTATCGGGACAAAATGTCCCCACAAAAATGGCAATATCTGAAATCCTTGTCCTTGTGGTGACATTTTTTGGGACAGGTTATAAATCATATTAAGTGATGATTTTTAACAATGTAAAAATTCAGAAAGTTTTCTGTGATGGGTGGGTTTAGGGTTAGGGTATAGAATATACAGTTTGTACAGTATAAAAATCATTATGTCTATGGAAAGTCCCCATAAAACATGAAGAAACACAACACGCGTGCGTGTGTGTGTGTGTGTGTGTGTCAAGTCAAGTCAAATATATTTATATAGCGCTTTTCACAATACAGATTGTGTCAAAGCTGCTTCACAGTATCAATCAAATGTGTGTGTGATAATGTGATGTTTTTTACACCTGTCTAGCCTCAAGAAAGAAAGAGGAAGATTATGAGCAAGAGAAAACAAGTGCTCTGTTTTCTCATTCTTAGCAAAGCCAGCAAAGCTGTTTTATGTTGCCAGTTATGAAGGAACAATGTCCTCTCTTCCTCTATTCTAGTGATTGTGGTAATTTGCAGCTTTAGGTATTAACTCAGAGTGGATAGAGGAGTCCAGGGAAGGAAAATAAGTTACAGATTCTGTCATGTTTTCAAACAAATTGTTAATCTGATTGTGCCACTCTCCAATCATTGATGTGTGTTTTTAGGTATGCCTCTGCACATTAAGCTGTGAAAAGTGAAAGTAATAATAACATTACACACTTTACTTTTAAAAATGTCATTATCAACAGATTACTGATAGAACAAAATAATATATTTGGACTTTTTTAAAGCTTTATAAAGGCTCCACTTCAGCTTCATGCACAAGATTAAAAATAAATTAAAACCTAAATTCTGAGCTGAGTCTCGCAATTGTGTTATTGCCTGGCCAATATTAGTCATTGATTAAAGTTTCAAGTATATTAAATCCACTGACAGGTGAAAAATATCAAGTCTGAATCTGATATCACTACTTGTGATTTGTGCTCATAATAAAAGTTTTAAAAAGTTAAAATGAGAAAGGAAAAGGAAGTAGTTTGAGTTAGATCTGGTTTTACAACAGGAAAATCCATAAACTGGAGATCTTCTATCACCACTGTGTCTATGAGCATGCTGACATACTGTATGTAATAAATGTCACACAATAAATATATAATAAATATATATGTATGTATGCATATATATAATTTTATACTATAAATATTACATACATTAATATTTTAAATTATATATAATGTAGAAATTGTATTGTATTTTAATTGTATATAATAAATGTATTATACATTTACTGCTATTGTATTATTACTATTGTATTGTATATATATATATATAGATCATCATTTTTAAATATATACTGCTCTGAAAAAAATTCATTTAAAAAAAATCACTCAGAAATTTGTGTACATTTCACAAATAATTACAAAGAAGTACAAATAAGTTACACATTAAATCAAACGTGAGATTTAGAACTAGAAAGATTGAAGTTGTATTTTCTTGTAAAATGTACTACAATAATCTTTGTTTTTTTACAACTACATCTTACGAATATTGGCACAAAGTCAATACTGTCCTCATGACACACACACACACACACACACACACACACACACACACACACACACACACACACACACACACACACACACACACACACACACACACACACACACACACACACACACACACACACACACACACATTCTTAACAATCTGACACATTAAAACACTCTTAAACACTTGAAAACATGAAAACATCATCATCTCTGTCTCTCTCTCACACACACACGTAGGTGTGAAATTTATTTTTCAGCCTGACACGCTCCATGAATCACCTACACCCGTTTCCATAGAAACGCTGTCCGCACACACAGGGCTCCCTCCTCAAACACGCGCACACAGACACACAGAGATTGCTTCGGTGAGTGTCACACTCGCCTGTGGTGAAGAAGTGAGATATTTGTCTGATATTGTGTAGATTCACTCTGCTGACCCTTACAGAGTACAAACAAGTCTTCAGTCTGTCTTTCTCGCATGTTAACTGGCTATCTAGCTATCTGAATGAGGACTCACTTGTTTAGATTTATTTGTATTTATATAAAGCTAGTCTATAGTATAGACTAACCCACATTGAATCTTGTATTTTTACACCAGACAGACTTTACAGGACCACCTGAGTTTGCTTGTGTGAACTAAAGGAGTGTGTAAAGTTGACTGGAATCTAGTCTTGTACTTTCTGATGTTTTGGCACATGCATGCACGTTTGCATTCAAATCTATATAAAGTAGTTGAACTAGAGAAGCATAACTCTGACACCATTATGATTTATTGCTGTATTGGTTCTTCTGTCGCCATTTTTCAAACAATACCTGTTGTAATATTTTGGGGTCATTTGCAAAACTCATTTGCTTTGCCCTGATGAGAATATATTTTTAAGTATTATACTTGAAATGTAACCTTTAGCATTTTTTAGGGCTGTCAAACGATTAATCGCGATTAATCGCATCCAAAATAAAAGTTTGTGTTTACATAATATATGTGTGTGTACTGTGTATAATTATTTTTAATACATAAATACCCAGACATGCATGTGTATTTAAGAAATATTTGCATGTATATACTGTATATAGACTGAATGTAGCCTATATATAATGTATATATAAATATAAACATTTTATATATAAATAACATATTTTTGTTAAATATATACATGTTTGCATTTATATACAAAATAATTATACACAGTACACACACATACATTATGTAAACACAAACTTTTATTTTGGATGCGATTAATCGTTTGACAGCCCTAATTGTTTTCATTAAAATGATTATTTATATTTATTAAGTACAATTTACTGTTATTATGAGTCATCCTTTCATAATGTCAAATACATCAGTATTTTATTATTATTATTTTATCCATCCACACGCATAGCACTCAGGAAAATAATCTGGGCTCTGGAGTGAAATAGAGAGCAACAGTGGGATTCCGGAAGAAAAAACTTGTAAAAACTGAGTTTTAAAGTAACACCAGGTAACTTTTCAACCTTCATAATATATTTCCAAGTCTCTTGTGATGGTACATCGACTTAAAATAGGTTGAATGACACGTCTGCCATAGCCTGACGGGGTCTGTAGCGTTTTTAATCGTACTTTTAAACTTCGGGTTTCGGGTAGTAACCGGCGAACAAAGAGAACTA